AAAAAAGAAGCAAAGTGGTATATTTAAAGTGAATGAAAATGAATTATTTTCATGAAAACCTCGTTAACCTTTGGGAGTCATTCTCTTAAGCAATCATGGAGGCCGAAAGTTCGGCAGCATTGTGCTGTTCTAAAGCAATTCCACGCTACAAGAGGACTGGAACAGTTATTCCTGATAGCTTGTCACTGCTGCTTATTCAGAGATCCTGCTTCTCCATTAGCAAAGTCCGTACAGATACTAACCTGCTGCTTCCGATTTGTGAAACAGACCTTTTAATGTGCATAGGGGGTTTTGTGCTCAGCTTTGCTGTCTCTTAACTTTAAACTGGTTGGCAGTTGTGCTGGTTTTGGCTGGGGTAGGGTTAACTTTTTCCATAGAAGCTTGTATGGGGCTATGGTTTGGATTTGTGCTGGAAACAGTGTTGATAACACAGGGATGTTTTGGTTGTTGCTGAGCAGTGCTTACAGAGAGTCAAGGCCTTTTCTGCTCCTCACCCCACCCCAGCAGCGAGCAGGCTGGGGGGCACAAGGAGTTGGGAGGGGACACAGCTGGGACAGCTGACCCAAGGGATATTCCATACCATACGACATCATGCTCAGCATATAGAGCTGGGGGAAGAAGCAGCAATGGGGGGCACGTTCAGAGTGATGGTGTTTGTCTTCCCAAGGAACCGTTACATGTGATGGAGCCTTGTTTTCCTGGAGATGGCTGAACACCTGCCTGCCCGTGGGAAGTAGGGAATGAATTCCTTGGTTTGCTTTGCTTGTGTGCATGGCTTTTCTTTACTTATTAAAATGTCTTTATCTCAACCCACGAGTTTTCTCCCTTTTACTCTTCTGATGCTCTCCCCCATCCCACTGGGGAGGAGCGAGCGGCTGTGTGGGGCTCAGTTGCCAGCTGGGTTAAACCACGACAGCAGTGCCGTCTACATTGTGCCAGTCTGCATCCTAGCCCAGCACACAGAAGGAGGTGTGCGCCCAAGGAAGAAATGCTTAAGAATTACAGCACAAGAAGGACATGGACCTGCTGGAGCGGGTCCAGAGGAGGCCACAGAAATGATCCGAGGGCTGGAGCCCCTCTCCTACGAGGCCAGGCTCAGGGAGCTGGGGGTGCTCAGCCTGGAGAGGAGGGGGCTGCGGGGAGGCCTGAGTGCGGCCTGGCGGTGCTGAGAGGGGCCTGCAGGGAGGGTGGGGGCAAGCTTTTTAGCAAGGCCTGTTGTGACAGGACAAGGAGTAATGGATTTAAACTAAAGGAGGGTAGATTTAGTCTGGATATAAGGAAGAAACTTTACACTGAGGGTGGTGAGGCAGTGGCACAGGTTGCCCAGAGAGGCGGTGGAGGCCCCATCCCTGGCAACATCCCAGGCCAGGCTGGACGGGGCTCGGAGCACCCTGGGCTGGTTAGAGCTGTCCCTGCTCACTGCAGGGGCTGGGCTGGATGGGCTCTAAAGGTCCCTTCCAACCCAAAGCATTCTGTGATTCTATACATAAACTTGACTGCAGAAGAATTTTCTTGATAAAACTACTCATTCTGAATGTTATTTCTGCAACTGTGGCTGTATCTGCATCTGGGATCCCGGACTGACGACTTCAGCAGCTGGTGCATTATATGGAATGGTCCTTTAAAAATCTCCTTGCTGCCGAGTTGAGGCTTGTGTGATTTTCAGTAGCATTTATAACCACTCAGGCTGCACCATGGTGTGATCTGTTTCACATGCCAGGAAGTTTGATGGGGAGCGGTTGAGATTAATGATGACATAATACAGTAAGAAGAGATAGTAATGCTCTTAGGCATGAATTAATGAAATACCATTGAGAATTTATCCTGCATGAATAAAAGGATTTGGAAGTTGTCGTTCTAAAAACCACATGAAGGATTTCACTGAAAAAAAACTCCGAACGCTCTGTTGAAATAGCCAGGGTCCTAATGAACCTTTACTCCAGATTTTTGTCAGAGCTGGATGATTGAGCTGGATCAATTAATTGAATTCCTACTAATTTACAAAGTGTTTATATAAACGAGAGGCACAGATCTCATGCTTCCAGGGCTGTGGTGGTGCTTATTTTTACCCCCAACTCAATGCAAAGCTGGATTCCAACCTGTGGTGTAGTTGCGGAGTAGAGACCCAGCATGCCAATGGCACCCATAAATCTGGGGTCCTTATCTCATAGTGCAGCCATACGGCAAGACCCTTGCTTATTGAAATGGTAGCAATGCTCTTCATCAATGTGGAGGGTGACTGTCACCATCTATTTAAAAAAAAAAATCTAAGGTATGCTTTACTGTGACCTCCCTGGCCTAAGTGTCTTTGCAGGGCTACAGGTGAGGTGGAACTGAGGAATTACTGCTGCGTCCCATCACTTTTCATTCTCCATCGTCCCCTCGAATTAGTGCGTTAAAACCCCAGTGAAGATGTTCGTATATATCCAATTGTCTATCTGTAGCTTCTCTTGATTTAAAAAATAATTTTATTCAGGGATAAAACTTTACACTAGCATATGTTGTCACATAACCAAATCTAGAAGACAAGTTTTGTTAGTTTTGAGGCAAAGCGGGGTAACAACAGTACACGGGGACTGTTTCCTTTTTTTTTTTTTGTTAATGTCCGAGTAGTCCAGAAAAAAATTTCCTTAAAAATTAGGACATAAAATATGACACATATCTTATCCGTAACTTATGTCAATTTGAAACACCTTTTATTGCCTACATAAGTGAATATATGTAAACTTTATTAGTAATTTCATTTCCAATTTAAAAGAAGCAAAGGTGTATTGTAGAATTCACAGATAAAGGTTAATTTTAACTATAAAGGTATTACCAGTGTTGCATTTCTTCATGTTATGGTTCACTTATGTAGAATTGAGATGTATTTGATATTAAACAATGCATAGCACCATTATACAACAGTTCACTAAATGCACATCCCATTTAATCTTTTGTAGGAATTAATATAACTGGACTGAAGTTACAAGGAAGAATTGAACTGAGCCAGTAGGGTTAACACTGATACTAACAGGAGATTACTAGCCATAAGAAAATTACAGCTCTTCTGAAAGACAGTGCCTAAAATAGCAGCATATCCTTGGCACCGTCATAGGAACTGGTTAACTGACGACCCTGAAGAAACACTTGTTTCCATTAATTCTGCTGTCATTATTTCGCTATTCTCGAACTCTTCCTCTGAATTCTTCTGTCCTTCTGATCCCAAGACAAGACGGCAGGAATGTGAGAGAGAACATAAAGAAATTACAATAAGCTGTCGGCTATATAATTATATTGTAACCTACTACACTGAGAAGTTACACCAACAGAAATTTGGCAAGGTATCGGCTGCTAGCTGCTAGCTAAACACAGGACACTCACTAGCGTAACATTAAAAAAACCAGGCTCACTAAAAAGCAACATCTACATTACAAAGAAGCTAACAAAAGAATTCCCTTATGATACTTAGGTTCAGCTGGTTCATCTTAGGTTCATCAGCTACATTTTCTTGTTTTATGAATACTTGTTACATTTGCAATTGAATATATATTCAAGATCACAATGCTACAAACCTTTTTCCAGCATGTAGTTTTGCCACCTTTAGTTAGACACAAAGGAGTACTTCCTCGAACTAGGGTTGAAGATTCTGCTGAAAGTTGGTGATGTTACTAGGTCATGTGTACTGTAATTGCTTGAGCACCACAATTTTTAAATCCCTAAGACATGATTTCCTAGGTAGAAGGCAGCAAGTATGCTTTTAAGTTGCCAGACAGACCAAGGGAATCGTTCTTGCTCCAAAGTCTGCTGTATACCCTGAATCAGAACAAATTCTTATTTCATAGAGACTTCAGATTTTTAAAGCATCTCTACTAAACAGAAGTAAACAAGTTTCTGACTGAATTTTAAATGCTTCAGTGATTCTACTGTAAACAGAATAACTTTTAAGTGTTAAGGAACATACTGGCAAGAGTTACCAGTAGGGTCAATGGTGAAGATGCCTTTTTCTTCAAGAACAACTGCTACGGTGTCACAGTCCTGATTACAGATATATTGAGGTTACCTGAACCCCGCGGTTCCATCTCAACCTGGATTTTTTTTTTTTTTTTAACAGAGTTTGAATTGTCTCAACAGCAGGAAGTCTTGCCCAAAATATTCTTCTGAAATCCAAACTTCTTCAAAATACATTGATTTATTTTCCAAATGGACTTTATATATTCCAATGCATTAGATGGTAACAGAATTGATACGGCTTTCAAATGAACTTTTGCTGTTCTCATACATACAGTCACAGTGGCCACACATGAAACTGCGGCCTCTGTGATGACAGGGCATTAACTTCAGAGTTATTTGGAAGAACATAATCTTGGAAGTCGTGACAAATGAAGTCCTTGGCGTTATCTTTGAGAGGCCCTGGTTGAGAGGAATAAAAGAGGCTTGGGAATCAAGACAACTAAGCCTTCAGACTTCCAATTTTGCCACTGATTTGTAGATAACATCTTGGGCATCAGCTGCCTTCTGCAGATCTCTAGTCTGACAAAAACGGGGACAGTCATGCTTATTTATCTAACTCAAAACAGTGCCGTGATGGATTAATTATTTGGATAGCACTCGGAGTGCTATCCAAATGCTGCTTATTCATGTTTTCCCCACTGCAACAATATATCTTCATCACTAATAATTGACTGCTAATTACTGTTGCCCAGAATATCATAGTGGTGTTTACCACCTTATTTTTAATTTCAGTACAGATGCCTACTTGAAAGTTATGTAAATATATGAAATTACAGTACATTTTCCTAATGACCCTGCCATGTCTGAGTTTGATCCTATTAAATTGTGACTAGAGTAATGAATAGTAAAGATGATCTTTTTTCTGTAGAGCTATAGAGACAGTTTCTATTGTATTCTTGACACTTCAATCATGAAATGTAAAGAAGCCATTCTAAGCAGGATACAGCTGGGTCGAAGGACTGCTGATGCCAATTATGCTTCGTACATAATAATGCACATTTTACCTATTTGGAAAAAAATTCACATTTATTTACTGTCAAACAGGTGTTAAACTTTACACTGGATATTAGTGATGGGCTCATTATTAACAGGTTTACACAAAGGGATGAAAAAAAGCAGAATTTTTTTGAAACAATTTACATTTCATTAGATTTTTATCATAAAATAAATTAATTACTAAATATAGGCAGAAGGAATATGGAAGAGTAATAGTTATGTTTTATTTATTTTTTTTAAAGGACAGGCACCTTTTATTCACGAGAAAGCTTGTGAGAAGTGTCCAGTGTCCCCTTTACCCCTTACCACCCAACCCTGATTAAAGAATGAACAGGGACTTGAGTTACAATCTTTGTTAGCTATACCAAATTTGTGCAAGGCTTGGCATAATTGGCTTCTAAAACAATTTTCTCCCCAAATTATGGTTTTTGGCAATAAAAATTCAAAACATAAGAATAAAAACTAACTTGTCAAAGCAGAACACTGTTTACAGTGAAAAATAAGTGAAAATGGGTAGAACTTGCATTTTAAACATACTACCGTACTATGAACAGAGTGTAAGAAAAACAGCTTATAACGTATGTGCAACCAAGAGCTTTTCACAATATTTTCTTCAAACTCTTTAAAATTATTTTTTAAGGACAATTATATTTCAGTTGGACACAAATGTATTTATTTTACCCTAGCAATAGAACAAAATATAATTTCTTTAGCCATTTTTTCATGAGAACGGTTCATTGTACAGTTGAGGAAATATATGAAATAAGGCCTGTGGCTTGATTGCTAGTGGTTAGACATGTATTCAATCTTTGCCCTAATGGAAAAGATTTGCAGTGAACTGCAAACTGATGCAGAATATCTCTCCTGCTTTTGCAAGTCTTGTCAGGAATAGTAAGGTACAGTAAATTTGTCCCACAGGATTTTAGAGCCTACGCCTTGTATATAATACAATGTAGGCCTAAAAAAAAAAAATGGTCCAGCCATATTTACAAATTTAGTTCACAAACTGCTGCAGTAAAATGGCTGGAAAGTGTTTATTTCTTTTTTTCACAATTTTGTTAAATTCAGCAGCAGAAGATATCTTAAAATACCTTGTTGGTATTTCTTTTCTTTGTAACAAATAATTCATTTTAGTATACTCTGTGTATATACAAAGTTTTTGCTTTATAAAAATTCACAGAACTGCGAGGTCCAGTCATCCCCGTTACTGGAGAACCACAGGGTCAACAGAATCGTCTCTTCAAGCAGATATAAGGGAGCCTGCATGGGACCAATTAAGTCTTTTTAATACTTGTACGTGGCCTTTAATATTTCTTTGCTACACTATTAAAGGCTTGTCACTAGTTGCATTTGTCCTTCTCTAACATCCCCTTCTGGAATACATCCTTCCTTGTTAATGGGAATTATATAGCCGTCGCTATTACCCCTGCTGATTTGATAGTACATCTGAAGCTGATGGCCAGCTCCTAGGTTTGGCATGCTCTTGTAGTAAATGTCCTCGTTTTCGCTCCTCCTGGAGGGAGAGAGATCTTCTTCAACGTCAGGGCTGCTCTCTGGATACGGAGAGTCTCTGAGATTGGGCATGCTCGTGTAAAGAGAGTCTCTGTTGGGGGACTGGAGGTGATCGTCAGCCTCAGCTGTCAGCTGTGAGACGTAGCTGTCGGTTCCCTCGGTCTTCACTTTCTTCTGGGGCTGGTACAGAAGGGAGTGAGTCCGCTGAGGAATGAGGGGGGCCTCAAGCTCTTTGTGGTGGAGCTCCAGCCCGGGGGTGTCACTGTGCATCAAAGATGAGGCATCTGCCACGATGGCGTCATCTTCGCTACTGCTCCCGCCGATCACAGCTTTGGCTGGTAGCGTGCGCTCCAGGTTGTGGTTCTTGCTGCCGCCCCGCAGGTTGTTGTGCACTAATTCTGAAATGATCATTTTCTCAAAAGCAGTATCATTCAGGCTTAGTCCACAGTCTACAACTTGCACACTGTCGTTATAGTCTCCATTGCGCAATGAGTAGCTGTTGTTGAAATTACCATTTAGCGGTAGAGTATCCATGGCACTTGTATCCCTGGCATTGTTCAGTGAATGTCCTGAAATGGAAAAGGACAGCTCTGGTTATTGCCTGATGTGCTTTTTATCACTTAATTATTTTTTTTTTTTAACGAAATTCTTTAATGTAGTTCAGGACAAAGTTGTACTTGGAAGTAAGACTTGAGAAAAGTTAGGTTATTGAACATTCTCAAATGTAAACAGTTGCCCACCTTATAGGAAAGATGCATTTTTAAAATAGTAACATGTATTTCCTGTGGGGAATAGTGGCATTTTAATTTCTTAATTCAGTGTCAATTCTGTGACTCTTCCACAAGGAACTGTTCACTCCATGCCCTTGCATATGTAATGCAAAGCAATTCATTTGGAAACACCTATGTTTCGAAGTACACCACCATGATTTAGAAAAAGAAAATTAACAGAATTTGTCCTAAACGACACTAAATTAAAAAGGAATTAGATCACAGACATAACTGAAGGTAAATGTACAACATAAACCCACATAACTGGCAAGCAACTACTTTAACAACATTTCTAACATTTTTTCCTTTTTTTTATTTTTGAGATGAAGTAAAGAAAAGAATGAAAAAAATGGATAAATACAAAGAATTTATGTTAAACAAGGACAGCCATCTTTCACACTACAGGGCCCAGGGCCCACAAGCACCATCCAACAACACGATAGACAGCAGGTGGAATGACTCACTTTGGACAACTCACATCATGTCTGTCTGCTCAGGCTATCTGGCCTAAGAGTAGCTGATATATAAAAGAAAGTAAAATGATTTATTGTAACATGATGAAGAATTACTGAGCTTCTCAGCAACTTAGTCAGAGCAAGGGTTCAGCAAATTAGATTACTAAGCAATAACAGCTTTTCTTTTCCCACTTAATGTAATTCTTTTGCACTAATATTCTGTCTGCCAACAACGGCCCCAGGCTTCTAAAGGTCAAAGTTTGCCTGCAGTCTGCATCAGTCACAGTGACAGCGCTGAATGAACCAGAATAGTTAATTAAGAGTTAGGCCCACAGTTACCATGGGCATGGAAGTCAAATGCAGAAATGTTAGGAATTTCTGTAAGTATGGGTCACAGAAATTAAACCAAAGAATAAATATTAGTTGTGGAATGGGAAGAGGAAATCAGCCATGGCTGATATCTCATAGCTGCTGGAGGAATGACAGATTGGGTAAGTCTGCTGGAAACATGAAAAGAAGTTTAAGGGGGAAAAAAATGAAGTCTTATGATGATTAAGGTCTTCATGTTTTTCGTTTTGGCTTTTTTTTTTTTTTTTGGTAAGACGATAAAGAAAAGGTTTTCCTATAGACACAAAGACATGTAAACTATGACAGCACAGTGCTTCCCAAGCAAAGGAAAAAGAAAAAAAAAAAAAAAAAA